GGGGGGGGGGGGGGAGAACTTTAACGATTTAAAAAATAAAATGATGAAACTACATATGTATAGTATGCATCGAAATATAATACACATATAACGTAGCCAAAAATATTTTGATCGTAAATGAAGGATTTCACGATCGCTGGAAAAACCGAGCTGAAAAAATAAATCAGACACAGTTCTATTTCCGTCCGGTCGCTAACTTTCGTGATATCTGTCGGCGATTTGATGAAGAATGTCAGGGGACCCGATATTTATCGGGACACATATTGCTGCCACATGTCGGTATCCCTCGGGTTACGGGAGGGAGGGGGAGAGGGTTATGAAATTTTTAGTCGACAGGAAAAGTCCATCGTCAGATTTTTTTTTTTCAAGTCGAGGGCACGTTCGGGAGATAGGATTGCGGTTTCAACGCGTTTTATCTTGGATCAAACCATTTTCCGCATTACGGATCACAGATCACAGCTGTATTATACAAGGTACATGTGTGTATGTGCAGAAATAGGACATTCAATTGATTCCTTTAGTTGTAACATTTCAGGGAAATGTTTCAGACATAATCTGAATGCACGTGCTTAGATATGTATTCGAATTTATTGTATTATTTATAAACAATTTTTTTTTCTCTCATTAAAAAGTTCATTTCAAAAATTTGTTCATTCTGTCGATATTTCAAGTAGATAAGATTTTTGGAATCGATCAGATTATATAGCGATAAATTTTCACAACGATTCATGCCTGATGAGTTTTTATAAGTGATTCTATATAATGCACGATCATTATATAGACACAAATAGTTACAATTAAAACTTAATATTCGTTCCGGATAGTCGTGTATTTACAAATGACTTCACGTGTCGATAAATTTATTATATTTTATTGTGGCGTTATTTTTGTGTTCGATGTCATAATATTCGACATTAACGAAGAACGAAACGAATATTGTGTAGCATTTTTTTATTTTACTGTGATAATTACGATCATCATTAAATTTGCATTATATTTTATTATTGATATTGTTATGCGCAAATTTGTGTGTGTGTTTTCCTGATTTCATCGAAGTCTTAATGAGAAATTCTTCGTCGACCTCGCACTATAATTAAATCAATGCGAGGGCGGTATAAAATGCACCGCGGCGTATTGTCTCCGCTTATCCGTCTGCGTACTAATTGCTTCGCACATTTTCAATTTACTTTCTCGTCTTTTATCGTTTTCTGTTTCGTGTTGAGATATTCTCTGGTATCCCGAAAAGAATCATCAATCTTAATTTTAATCTGATTTTTTCTGGGGATCAATCCGCGAATTATAACATATATTACATAATATGTAATTTATATTTATAATATCCAATTATATAATATCACATTATTATAATCCAATTTTAATACATGATAAAAGTAAGATTGTTTCGAGATTAAATAAAAAATAAAATTTTATTATTTAATTACTTAATAAGCGCAAAAAGAAATATAGTTCGCCGGAAGCTTTTAGTTTTTAACGACACATTATATTCGCCCTTTTCGAGGATACACAATATGTTCTAAAAATCGCAAGTCTGGGTTACTTCGAAACGCGCTGCATTGAGCACCGTGAAAGATACGTTTTCCAGCGAAATGTGGGTCCTGTTTATTGGTGTAACGAGTGACGTCATTCGCCGGTGGAACGTGCGTGCGTGCGTATGTACGTGCGCAAATTGGCTGCGAGTATTTTCATCCGATTAATGGTGCCTCGGCTGCAAAATACAAATGCATGTTGCATATTTCAAGACGATGTAGAACTGCTTTATGGCGTTAAACTTCAGCGATTAAAACGCCTCTGTCGCGACTTTACAACGTGTCCGTCTATAGAACGTTAAAAAAAAAACGAGGAACCGATATTTTTACTTGGATTTTAAATCGTGGAAGAAAAATAATTTTTTTATTTTTGCTGCTGTTACTTCTTTCTATTTCTCATTATTTAAGTTTTGTACTTGGGGGAGATTGGGCATAAGCAAGTTAACTTGTATAAATAACAAGATATTGCTACGTAGGTTGATTACAAATATTTTAACGCGACATGATTAATTATGAGAGAACTTAAATAGAAATATATGTTTTTATTTTTATTATTTTATTAAATAAGTACGTATCAATCGTATTGTAATTACCGTCTATTTTATATAGACGATCTATTCTTTCGGAAGTTTTATTCTACAAACACACATAATCAAATATACTTTGTGTATTTAAGAACAGCATTGATCACAATACCGCGAATGCGCGTATCAATGTAAAATGGAGTAAATGGCAAAGGGCGCGGTATATTTGTGCATGAAACCGACTGAAATGGATGAAGAGGGAGGCAGTGTAATAAAATATAATTCATTAGAGTCTGTAAATCATAACAAGGACGAAATATCTTTCCGCGTGATAAATATTACGTTTAATATTTAATTACATTACAATCATTATTATATCTTCTAATGAGTATTACAATATATAAAGTTATGTAGGATCTATTTCACAATTTATGATATTTTAAATATTTTCTCTCTCCAAATCTTAGCTATTATTTAAATTTAAATATTTAAAACATAGAATTTAATTTTAAGATATCTTTGTTTTACATTAGAGAATCAGATACGGTTTTCTATATCATAAATTTATAGTTCAAATGATTCAATATATATATATATATATATATATATCGCGTCTTCGACAGAATACAATATTCGATTCACGCTACAGATATTGATTCGATGATGATATGGCAAAGAGATATCGGATTAAGTTAAAGATAACGAGTTATCGGATGAAAAAGTATAATAAATATATAAGAACGACAAATATGTAACGTCCTCATTGTGCCGTATAATGCGGCAAACGCCATAATTCTATAATAAGATTTGAGAAATATGTGCTCGCCGCGTCCCAGAAAGACTTATTTCCGCGTGCCACTTTTCTAAGGTTTCGGAGCGAGCTGGCAAATTGTAAACACACTGCAGTTTATATCGAGATGACCGTTTCGTAACCATCGGTGAACGTTTACTCGCGATAATTGCCGCATCGGGATTGTACGAGATGATTTATCGATGCCGAAGCGAAGCGTTCGCGCGATTCGAAATGAGATACGAAATAACTTCGCGGCCTCGAAAGTATCTTCCGTTCTTTTTTTTCCCGTAATTGTTGGCGAAATAAATTGCTGGAAAATTTGCTCTTATTTTTGCGGTCTCGCCCGTTTTCTTTTTTCATTAATTAATATAGCAGGGTGGCCTGGATATATATATATATATA